GAGGATCAAGGCCGTGGCTTCCGGGAGCAGGGATTTTAGTGCGCATGCTTGGGTCTGGACTGCTAAGCCCTAGATCTGGGGGAGGGAACTAGGGCAGGATGTGGGGCTCACTTCTTTAGCACAAAAGTCCCCTCCAGCTCGGCAGTCTGCCTTTCTGGCCGTTTTTGGCTGTAAGGGGAGTGAGATAAAACTGCTTCACTGGAGCTGTGACAGTTTTCCCCAACTGAGGCTCTGCCCCCAGCCCTCCGACCAGCCCAGGTTTGCGGTGATGTTTCATGGGAGCAGATCAGTACTGCATGAACAGTTTTACATCCCCCTTCCTGGTGCTTGGATCAGGAAGTGCGCACGGTCCTGGGTGCTGGGCAGAGCTGTGCCAGGGTGCGTGGTCGGTCAAGCAGTACTTTCAGCAGACTGGAGCCACGCTGATCCCAAGAGCCAGGCCCTTGCAGTGTCGCCCGTGCTGTTTTTGCGGGCCAGTAATGTAATTTGTCTCTGTTCTCTTTGTAAAGAGAGACGACATGGAGGCGATCCCGGGGTACTTGTCCCTTCATCAGACTGCAGACATCATGACGTTGAAATGGACCCCCAACCAGCTAATGAACGGTTCTGTGGGAGATCTGGACTACGAGAAAAGGTGATTCGCTCTATATGCACGAGCCTGTTGGCCAGAGAACAAGAGGGAAATGAACCATTCAAGGCAAAAACGTTATGTTAGGTGCTTCTAAAAGGCCTGATGGAACAACTGTTGCGGTCAGTGGGGATCCTTCCACAGAGCTCCGTGGGCTTTGGAGCAGGTCCCAGACGTTTAGCTGACGTCTGAATTCACTCTTGCTTTCTGAGAGGTATAATGTAAACAGGGAAAAGCCCTCATCTGAATCTCCTGGGGAATCCAGTTCAGTGCTTTGGGTGAGTGCCAGTTTTTACCCAGCCTATTCAGGAAATGCTCACCTGAGCAGAACAGAGCAATTATGCAGGAGTTGAAAACAATAACAGAGAGAGCAATTGGCCTTCGGGGGCAGAGAGCAGGAAGGGGCTGTGGGAACAGAGAGGAGACGTTGCTAAGGAATCCGTCTCCTGAGGGCCGCGTTCAGCCGGTCGAATCGGAGAGACTGTTTATGCTGAAGGGTGTGGAACAATTTGCTTTCTTGCCCTCTGAGTGATTTCCCAGGGAGAGACGTGGTGTGCTCTTCACAGTATCTTTTGGGGGGCTGTTAATGCTGCTGATGGATCTAGGGAGTCACAGAGCAGATAAACAGGGAAGTCCATGTGCAAGGAGAAAAGATGCAAGCAGCTTCCAGAATAACAACGCTGGGCAATGGGTCATGTACACAGGAGAGGCTGAGGTGTGTTGAGGCCAAGGGGATGACATGGCTCTGAGGCTGGTAGCTCTTCCTTCTCTCTCTTAGACCTTATCCTGCTGCCCACCCCGTTGTATCTGAGCACCACCATAGCAAACCAATAGCAAAGTCCCTAGTGGACTCCAGGAAGTCTCTGGCACATTTCCGTTCATGGGCTCCGAGCTCCCCTCAGGGTAGCATTCCCCGATGAAGTGGATATTGGAATCTGCCATGTGTGTTGGGGACGTTTTTCTTGACTGCAACACTCCCTTTTACAAACTAACGTTAACAAACTGGGCCAGGCCTTTGCAGGCCTCGGGCCGCTCAGAAAAGTTCCTTCCAGCAGCTCGCTATTGACATAAGCATAACAGCTTGTATTGAACAATAACCATTAAGAGAATTCCCAAGTGCTTTCCAGCAGTAGATCAGTTCTCCTGAAACATAACAGAGAATCATCTAAATAAATAGTATAGGAAACCCAGGGGCAGAAATAACTGAGCATTGTCCCCTGGGCTGAGATAAACATAATTGTTCATGTAACTCATTTTCATTTTTGTCTGTTTTCTATACTTGTCTCTCTTTTTTGCCTTTCTTTCTGGCATCTCCACTCTCACCCCCGTGTACTCTTGGGGGGGGGTCTCTCTATGCTGCTGGCGGGGATGACTGGCACCCTGCTGTAATCCTCTTTTCATCTCTGTATTGCTTTGTTGAGTTCTTGACTTGGTCCTCAGGCTAATTTCTAAAATTTCCCAGTGTCCAGGCAAGACAGAGAGAGAGAGAGGTCAAACCACGAAGTAAGTATGCCTCCTTCGTGGGGTTGGTTTTGCAGTTGCACACATACACCCACACCCCTCGTCTTTCTCTGGGCCTTTCACAGGGTGGCTGTAATGCCTGCACTTTTTTTTGTTTTTTAAGCACAGCTTTTCTAAATGACAGCTATTGCTGCTGAAAACCTGGACCTTATCTTAAAGAACTGGATAGAGATTTCATCCTGTACCAGGTCCTCCCTGGAAATGAAACTGCCTTCTCTGAGGCATTGTCTTTGAGAGAAGAAAATGAAACGTTTCTTTGATGGACCCATTACAGGGTTGTTTTTTATTCCATGTCCATTTCCTCTTGTGATCTCTGTGCCAGGCCCTGCCCTGTCAATCAGCTGTCCCCCGACCCCGCTCCCCTCAGATCAGGCTGAGGACTGTGGCCTGCAGGACTCGACTTGACATTCGTTCTGTTTTTTCCTTAAAAGCAACAGTGAAGGAAATTTAAAATGAAAAATTGTTCAGCCACTTTCCAGAAGTGTCATTACGGAAGTAAAAGGAGAACCCAGCAGCACAGGAAGCACCGAGGCCCCTCGGGTGAGCCCAGGAGCTCAGCAGCTGGGTGAAAGTTTCCCTCCACAGACGGCCAGCAGGGGCCCGGACACTTCTTAGATCCTATTAGGCTTAATTGGGATGTAAGCGCACTGGCTTCGTTCTTCTCCTCCCCCTGTACCCTGGTGTGGAGGCGAAGCTTCCCCAGCAGAGGGGACAGGAGGTTTCAGGGGTCAGAGGAGGAACGTTCTGCTCTGGCTTGGGCAGGAGTTGGATTTTGGCTTCCTCTGCTTAAGAGCCAAATTCAAACCGGCCAGCTGGCAGAAAGCAGGGTTCAGGCTTTGTCAAGCTGTGTCCTCCATGACCTGTCTGGTGTAATTGGGGGGTTCTGCCGCTAAGAACAACGAGAGCGTAAATATGAGAAACCATTTCCCTTCCTCCCCGTTCTCAGCCCCTTTGGCCTGTTGATGAAAAGGGGCAGCCGACGGTTTGATGACCTCGCGGTTCGCTCTTGAAAATATTCAAGAGGCCAAATACCCAAGCCCAGCCACGTGTATTGTCTGAAGACAAAGGAGCACAGTACAGGAAAGAGTTAATACAGCACCATTCCTTCCCAGGAGGCAAATTCACCCGGGGTGTTCCGTCTGCCTTACGCAGAAGGGGTGCTGCCGTCTGGGGTAGCGTGGCTGTCTGCACTGGTCACAGCACTTGAGGTTGAACTGGCCAGCTTGTGCCAGCTTTGTCCTGGATGCCTCTGTGTACTTTCCCACCTGATATTCAATTCCAAACGTCAGGGGGCCTGGAGCCAACCCGAACGCAAAGGATTCATGCAGCTTCCATGATACCACGCTGGACCTTTGTTTCATAGCGCGCGTCCATCTAGCTCGCGACAGTTTTTCTATTTGCCTAGGCCAAGTGCTGAGCTCTGTGCCCCAATGCATCATGGGATATATGCCTTAGCATAAGGGAGCAAGAAGACGCTGAGTACAATTTAGCATGATTACTCCCCCCCATTCGGCCCCCCCACTAATTCCATGCCCATAATACCTATCAATATGGGGGGCGTAACCTACATGCACTGGCTAGCACACTGCTACTCGTTTCCCAGTATGGGGCTCGCTTCAGAGAGAGGGTCTGTGCAGGGCTCCCGACAGTGCAGTGCGCGTTCCCCGCACACATGGTTGATGCGTGCGACCATGTACGGGGAAGGATGCTGAGGCAGCAGTGGGTTTAGCAGACCCGGGTTTAACACAGCTCAGTCTTGTTGAACTACGTAGGAAGCCCAGAGAGAAGTGGCCCAAGGCATTTCTGCAGGGACGTTCCCACTGCCCCAAGCTGTTCCCACGGCAGGCGCCTTGCTGTTGCTCACATCCCCCATGTCCCTCCATAGCTCCCGGCTGGGTCAGGGGGGTTCTGGTGATCCACAGGGCAAGATCCTCAGCCAATGTAAATGGGAGCAGCTTCCCCTGGGTCTGTGCCCTTTACACCCACGGAAGACTGGGCCCGGACTCTTGCCATCGGATGGCTTTGAAGGTGCTGTCGAGTTGCATGGCCGGAGGGGCTTCTCTGATGGTTGAAAGCCTGTGGGGCGTAGGACGCTGCTGAGTGACCGGGGCCTCTCTCCTCTTTCCTTCCAGTGTGTACTGGGACTATGCCATGACCATTCGCCTCGAGGAGATCGTCTACCTGCACTGTCACCAGCAGGGTAAGGGAGGCGGGCATTGCTTTCTCTCCAGGGCAGCTTGTGCCATCTGCTCGCAGAGGGCTGCAGCAGGTACCTGGAGAATGTGATGATGGCAGAGAGCGCCCGGGACAAGTCTTGAAATACCTAGTTTCTGTGGAATCACTGGTTCAAATCCCAGCTTGCTTGAGTCGCTCCTTCACGCTCCCAAGGTAGATGAACTGAGCTCTGTGCGATTGCTCTTACGGGGCTCCTCCAGGGGGGACCTTAAAAGCAGGGCCTGCCTGCTGGGCTGGGCAGCGACGACTCTCTGGCACTTTGTGAAGGGGGTTCCGGGATTGGACCCCTGGGCCTAGTGTAACTAGAGAGGGAAGAGCCCTGGTGGTTAAGGCGACGGGCTGGGACGCGGGAGACCTGGGTTCTGTTGCTGGCTCTGCCATAGCCTCCCTGGGCGTCATTCAGTCTCTCTGGGCTCCAGTTCTCATCTGTGAAATGTGAGTAACAATATTCCCTTTGTGTCCCGTCTCTTCAGAATGTGCAGGCTTTGGGGCAGAGCCTGTCCTTACACTGTCTCCCCAGTGCGCAGCACAACCGGGTCCCAAGCCCAGTTGAGGCTGCCAAGCACTATCATAACAAATGTAAATACGTTTTCTGCCCCAGTGGCAAAAGTTGCCCTCTACTCCCTGTTGTTCAGGGTGCAGTAAACCAGTTGGCTGCCGCTGTCCACCGTACAGGTGGCTGCATTACAGTGGTGCCTTTTATATTTAATCAGTAAAGTGCTTTAAGACCTTCTCTAGAAATGTATATTGTGTGAGAAGGTTCCCTTCCTCTTCTCAAGTGAACGCAACCTGGGCCGACTGTTAGGAGACTCCTTTGGTCTGTCATTGCTGAGAGGTGTGATTGGCTGGTCTGTGCTTGTCTCACCTGTTTTATACAGCACTCCACATGGTGGCCATGAAACAGCAACAGTCATCATCATACTAACAAGTGCTAACAGGAATAATGCTCTCCTGCTAGAGATCACGTTTCCTGCAGAATCACTGCATTACGTTCATTAGGGACAGAGACCTACGCAGGGGAACAGAAACAAACTCCCTGCTGGCATTTCAGGCCAGGTTTATAATTGCAAATCCCAGGCCTGCACAGCTGGAATTTTGTCTGAATCCTTGTTAATCTCGGCTCAGCTGATTTGTCATTAACCATCGCTACTGACCCCTGAAGGTGCAGTAATACGCACACCAGCCCCACAGCGTTTGTGGTTGTAGGGGTGAATTTCCCCCTAGTGCAGAGCCTATGAGTTTACGTGGGGCTCTAGTGGTGCCTAGGCCTCCTGCCTGGGATGGATTCCCACCTGTGGGAGGAAAGTTCCGATAACTCGTGGCCTGGAGCTGCATGTACACGTTCTGTATTTATTTCTCCCCTGGAAGCGTCTCTGGATGGCTCCACTGTGCTGTGCCCTGGGGTTTCACATGGGTAGGGTTACCCCTGGCACCTGTTTCCCTAACTTCTGTGTTGTGTATCTTCTCTGCTTTCGTTCCTGTTGCTAATAGTAGACAGCGGTGGGACAGTAGTTTTGGTGAGTCAGGATGGAATTCAGAGGCCTCCGCTCAGGTTCCCCAAAGGAGGGCACCTGCTTCAGTTTCTGTCCTGCCTAGAAAATGGTCTCCTCCCTCATGGACAGCTGGACCCACCTCTTTGGTCACAGAGGGGGAAGGTAGGAACCTTGGCTGAAGTGTGGGTTGGAATGCAAAGGCTCAGTAACTGTGCTCTCACCCCTCGCCGACGTGGGCTCCTGGCTGGTGCTGGTGCGGCAGAGTGGTACCTGCCCGGACTTAGTGGCAGCTACAGTTGAAAAATCCCAGGGTGTGAATACCTCTGGAGCCAAGCACACTAGAAGCCCAGCACTGGACAGGAGTTGCGGGTGGTGACGTGATCTGCACCCCTGTAGAAAGGAAGGTCATGCAGTAGAGGGGAACCTGCAGCCTACGAAAAATGAAACCTTATATCTCAGTGCGTCCCTTTATAAATGTACCCTCCTACTGGACACATATTCCTGGGCCACAGTGCGGGCTAACTGCAGTGCAGGAAAACGCCCGAGCTCACACATTGTCCAGCAACCACAGCCACCAAGAAAGAGCAGTCCCCACAGGAGCTTGCTGAATACAACAGGTGTCACTTTATTTCAGGCCAAGACTCCTATCCATGCAGTTGTCAGTACCTGGGTAAAATGCACCCCTGGACCAGAAGGCCAGCAGCAGACCTGGGTCCGAAGTGGAACTTGTGCTACTTTGAGCTGCCCTTCTGGACAGGGGTGTATTTCCCCCTTACTTAGTAAATTCATGTAAGATGGGAGTGACCAGGCTCTGCCTGTTGTCTGATGCCACTGGGCAGTTTTCCTGCAGCCGGAGGCTCACATCTAACTTGCATAACATAAAGCAGGTCGCAGATGCTCTTACCTTAACACACGGCTATATTGATGCCCTACAACAGACCCAGCAATTGGTCTTTGCATGCGATGCCCTGTCTCGAGCGAGGAGACTGGCCACGCTGCATGTTGGGATCTGCAGGCTCTATGAACCCCATCTCTGTATGCAAATTATGGTGGCCGGGGCTCTGCTGTTTCAGAGACTCTGGTACAAGCTCGTATCATAGCTCCTACCTCGGGGGTAAACTTTTCTCTCTGTGGGAATGTAATCAAAAGCACGGGGATCTTCCAGCCAAGTGAGTGCTGCGGATGTGTGAACTCCTAGGTCAGCGGGAGGGCATGTGTGTTCTTGCATTAGACAACCTTTTCAGTGGCAAAGTGGCATTTGAGGTTGCCCTGAATGTAAACACATAGCCTGGCTTTGTAAACAGGAGTTCTTATTTACGTAGGGGAAGGTGTTTCCAAAGCTGAGAAAGCGAAGTCCCCAGGGCTCTTCCGAGTCGGCATCTGATAAGGAAGATGATGAAGCCACGGACTACGTTTTCCGGATAATCTACCCCGGCACGCAGTCAGAGTTTGGTAGGTGCACTCAGTAATGACATGCAGCGTGGCTTGTTGCTGGAGTGGGAATAGCCCGACACCAGCACTGCTGGAAACACTCAGCACAAATCCCTGCCGAAAACGTTTCCAAGACAGGGTTTGGCTGAGGGAGAATTGCCTTCTCAACATCACTGGGATTTACCCGTTGCTCAGTCAAGAGGGCAGCAGTGAACCCTTTGCTCTCATAGCTGGAGAAGGGCCCCAGGCCCCCGTACAAGAGAGCTCCGTGAATGTTGCAAAGAATCTTCCCCAAATATTCCTCGGACTCTGACCGAGAGCCTGCTCTGGCTGCGTTCACAAGCCTTTCTGGGCACTCTCGCTGCAAAAGCAGGTGGCCAGGAATGTGTTAACTGGGAATCCTGTTTACTTCTCTCGCACTGGTGCAAATCAGGAAACACTTCACTAACCCCAATGGGCCAGATCCTGGGCCGACCTCGGTCCCTTCTGTGCTACTCCAGCAGCACAAAGAGGGGAGAACCATGTCCTGTGAGAAAATTCACACTGGCGTAGCTGACTTTGCCCCACCCCTTCCTCCCCGGAGTAGGGGATGATCCTATTGGGTTGCTTGACACAGAAATGGGTCATTAGATCATCTCGTTTGACCTCCTGTATAATGGAGGCCAGAGAGTTTCACTCAATTACTCCTGTCTCTTGCCCAGTAACTTGTGTGTGACTGAGGCACAGAAGAAGTCTGCCTAAGGCTCTGTCTATACTGGACCACACCACGGCCGGCTGCGCCGCTGTAGCTGGTGGAAGAGAGCGCTCCTGCTGGCGTAATTAAACACCCCCAGCGAGTGGCGGGAGCTGTGTTGGCAGGAGTGCGTCTCCCGCCAACATAGCACTGTCCACATCGGTGCTTTTGTCAGTCAGGGGGGTGGTTTTTTCAACCCCGACCGACAAAAGTGCTAGTGTAGACATAGCCTAAAAGTAAAACAAAGGGAAGAGACGCCCCTTTCTATCGCTTTGTTTCGAACCCTCCTGTACCGTTCCCTCATGCAGGGAGTTCACCGTTAAATGAATGATTGACCGCTCCTCTGGCAGGGGTATCTTCCTCTGTCACATGATATAGGACTTCCCCCTAAGGCTCTAACTCCTGCCCGGGTTCTTCCTCCCCTCACGCATTTGTGCCTTTGCCCTGTCTCCACGTCTTTAGTTCCTGTAACCAGTCATTCTCGTCCTTTCCTTGCCTCCCCTGCAATCTCTGGCGCCGCTGGGAGGGAGATGACCCTGAGGACTCCTGCTACAAGCAAGATTGTGGTGATCCCCAAACGCTCTCTGAGCCTCCTGGCCAGACCCCTCACTGCGCCATGGACTGAACCGCATCAGCGTAATGTTGCTGTCACCCATGTTACTTTCATTTTGCTGCCTGGGCCATGTTGTCACTTGTGGATCCTTGCGTGCTGGGCTCAGCAGCCCCGTCTGGGTTACAGTTTTCCTGATTTGAGTTCTCAGAAGGGAGAAGGCCTTGGGGAGGCCTCGTATCCCTTCGCCTGGTGCCCATCGCCAACGCTAGCAGCTGCTCAAGAACGACAAGCAGGGAGGGTTAGGAGGTGCCGAGGGGGCATGCACAAGCCTCTGCCATCTGGAGGCCTGAATTCCTACCCTCTCTTAGCTCCTACGTGCAAATGAACTGGATTATCGCTTTTTATCGTTCAGAAGAGGCCCCAGATAGAAATGGCAGCTGAGCGTCAGGGCATGGTCGTGCTAGAACAGCAGCAGAGCTGCTGGGAGGCTGTCCAGAATGTGCAGGGCTCTCTGAACAGCATGCTCATGCTAGCCTCTGGTTGGCCTATTACTTGGGAACACGCAGGAGACTAAATTTGCTCACGATCTCAAACCCAAACCATTGCAAGTGACCGTTCAAAGCCCGCCCAGAGAGATTTGAGCAAATGACAACATCCCGGGAGCGGCCTGCCTGCGCTGCCCTGGTTAACCTCTTGCAGCATCTTAATCAAACTGTTTCTTCTTCAGGCATGACTCTGATATCCTCCCTTTTTCATATGGTCCCTGGGTCTTTTTCAGCATTCAGCCGTCCCAAGCAAGCTGACTGAATGCACCAGAGCTACCCTGGATCTTTCCTTTCCTGCTAGTGCATCACTACTCAGCAATGTGATTGGCTGGCAGCAGACCCATGTGGTTTAATACAATCTGCTTGGGAAGACCATGGGTTATTGATCTTTCTAATCAGAACTTTCCTGTCCCCGTCTCTCTCTCTCATCTGGCGTGTGAGCCATCTATCTCCTATCACAATTGCTCAGTGATGTCTTTTCCTGCCCTCGCAGTGCCCCAGGAGCTGATCGACACACCAGCCAGCAGCCTGCCTTCCATGTGGCAACCTAGCACCCGCAAGTCCTCCTGCTCCTCGTGCTCCCAGAATAGCTCCTCCGATGGTGGCCCATCCAATGGCTGCAACCACGAAAGGTACAACCAATGGAAGCCGTGTTAATGTGGCTGGTCTGCCTGTCCCAACAGCAGGAATGCATGCACCGGAACCAAGCTGAGATCCCCAGAGCGCGTCAGTGTGACTGACGGCCAGTGATGGGGGAGACATTGGGCCCATTTTCTAAGTCGGGGCTAGGTCAGACTCCAGGGCATGTGTCCGCCCCCCTCGGCTACTGCTCAAATGGGGACACCTTCGTTGGATGTTTAAATCCTCAGGCTGGGATGCTCAGGCTGGCACTTAGGAATGGAAAAGGGCTTTGAGGCCAGTTTGGGTTCCCAAGGTGGGGCGTGGGTGGATGTTAAAAGTGGGGAACCCTTCATTTGCAGTGGGGACCTGAAGGCAGTTTTGTAGCCCAAGTAGAAGTGAAAAGTCTTCAGCAGCAAAATGACTGTGTCCTAAGTGGGCTCATCCTGTCCTGGGCGTGACTGTCCGGAATGGGTTAATGGTGGTACAGTAATCTCCTCACAGGCATGGCCTAGTGATCTGAGCACTGGCCTGGGAGCTGGGATTCCCTGTTTCTGATCCCAGCTCTCCTATGTATTCCCATTGCCGCCTTGGGCAGGTAGTGTAGGCTGGGATTTTCTGACGAGACTGAGGGAGTTAGTTGGGTGCCTGACTCCCGTGGGGGTCTTTGCAAATCCCAGTTTTACGAGCTCTGCCTCAGTTTTCCCATCTGTAAATATTCACATTGATTCTAAATTGCCTTATTCCCAAGCACAGCCAGCCCTCGCGGGTCAGCGTTGGTCAGGCAGTGGGAGGAGAAAACTTAGAATGAACAAAACATTTGATCAATTGTAAAAAACCCGAGCCTCCTGGCTCTTCCCTTCTCTCCCTTCCCTGCTTAGCAGATGCCCACCTCTAGCATGGAACAATTATCGCGGGGTGAACAAACCAGGGTCACAGAGCGGGGCAGGTTGCTCTGTGATAGAATTACTGAGGAGAGGCTGCATTTCCAGGTGTTTGCACATGAGCAGTTGGGGCTGTGGGGTGGGCCAGGACACTGCGTGATGGCTGGGGCCATGATGGGGGCCATTCCTCTCTTGTATCGGATTGGTTTTCTTCTCTCTTGGCAGAACCCCACTAAAGCTCCTGTGTGACAACATGAAATACCAGATCCTCTCCCGGGCTTTCTATGGCTGTGAGTGTTCTCTTCCTCCGTCTGAACCTCGAAGATAGGCCGGCTCAGATTCTCCTCTCCATTGTGGCTTGGCTTCAGTGGGCTTGTGACAGAGAGGAGAGCTGGCCCAGGGAATCAGGCTGATACCGTACGCAGGGCATGTGCACACACCAGTGCTGTCAACCAATTGCATGCACGTAGTGTGGGGACTAGCGGGTTAGGCTGCTCGTGTGCCAGAACCACGGCCCGCCGTGCTGACCAATATTGTTTCCTTGTACTCCCCCGTCTGTCCATATATAAATGCAGACTGTCTGTTCTCCGGGGCAGGGACTCTCTTTGTTCTGTGTTTGCACGGCCCCTAGCACAACGGGGTCCTGCTCCGTGACTGGGGCTCCAAATCACAGGCTTTGGCCCAGTGAGCTAAAGAGAGTAGCAGCCATTTGCCCATGATCAGGAAAACCCTCCTGGCAGTGAAATGTATCTGGCTGGAGAATGTCTCCCAAAGGAGGAAGACCCCTTGTTTGTGACTCTTAGAATTAGACTGGAAAAAGCCCTAGAAAATCGGCACTGGAGGCCAGTGGCCCAGGATGGACGGACTCACTGGCATTCCGGGTCTTTTCTGGGCTTCCATCTGTGTTTTCTGGGGCTGCCCACGCGCCTTGTTCTGAACGAATCCTTGCTCCACCTGACAGGGCTGGCGTACTGTCGACATCTCTCCACTGTGCGAACCCACCTGTCCGCATTGGTTAACCACAACATTGTGTCTCCTGACCTGCCATGTAATGCCAGCGGTGGACTGACTGCAGAGATATGGCAAAAATACCTGCAGGATAGCACGGTAGGGACCAGCGTTCTAGTTAGACGGCTAGAACGCGGCCTAGGCAAGAATTACTGCAACACAAAGCTGCTCTGTGATTCTTTTACCAATGGTTAATGACAACATTGTAAGCGTCTCCGGCAGCGACTCGTCTGTGGGTTAGTACAGGGCTGTATCTGCTTGTGTAATACTGCTCAAGAACCACTGCAACTGGGATCCGGAGATCCAGATCCCGTCTGCTGTTTGTTGCTTCAGGGTCCCCAGAAGGGCACTCGTGGGGTGCATGATAGAACCTAGCCGCATCGAATGGCTAACATACGGGATGCCTGCCTAAGCCCTTTTGACTACTTTTTTTCTTTTTTGACTTCTACATCTGTTTTATTTCCCTCCGTTACATTGTCTATTTATTGCACCGCTTGTGCATTGGCCAGTCATCATTAATGATATGCTCTGTATCTGTATGGCCCTTTACGCCCAAGTGTCTCACAACACTTTTCAAACGATAATGAATTGATTCAGGCGCGCAGCCCCCCGAAGGGGAGCACTGTTATCACCGTTTCACCATGCTGCAAGAGTGGCACGGAGTGGTCAAGTGACATGCCCAAGGCTGCATAACGATGCTGTGCCAGAGCCCAGGAGCCCTACCTACCTAGACCATGGCCCTGTCTCCAGCTCTCGCTCTGACTTGCTGTGACTTGCCTACACCACTGCCGGGGGGCAGCTCGGCCAGGGGTAGCAATGGTGGGATCACTAGTGTAGACGGGGCACAGGTGTTTTTACCACAGCAGGGTTGAGTGATGTGGTGCTGGAGGTGCGAACTCCGCCCCGGGGCTGCTGCTACGGAGCTGCACTGTTGGCCATGCAAAGGCACGAGAATGACCTTGGCCAGATCACTTTTTCTTTTGTGTCGCATCTTCCTCCCCTGGAAATAGGGCTGCTGCTGCTCAGGGGCCCTGCCTGGCTTAACGAAGGCCCTTGAAGGCCAGCATTTTCCCAAGTGCCCCCTAGCTTCGGGTGCCTCTGTTTTGTTTCAGGCTGAGCGCTGGAGTTCAGGGTTTGGGGTGCTCAGCACCTTGGAAAAACTTCAGGCCCTGGGTGTCCAAGCCCGGCCCCCAAAGGAGTGCATGCTATGGGAAAGTTGTGCCCCAGAGATCCTGGGGCGCTGTCAGGGGCTGCAAAAGGGCAGGGATTGTTGTTGCAAATGCCAGCCAACTGGTTTCGGTCCTGCCCAGGGCCTTTCAGTAACTGGCTGAGCTCTCCCCGCAGAGTTACGAGGAGCAGGAGTTGTTACGGCTCATCTACTACGGTGGGATCCAGCCTGAGATCAGGAAAGCCGTCTGGCCCTTCCTCTTGGGCCACTACCACTTCGGGATGACGGGAGCTGAGAGGAGAGAGGTCAGTCTCCCACTGGGCTGGCTGCTGCCAGGGCAGAGACCTGCGGTTTGGGAAGCTTTGGGACGAAGGCAGCTGGACAGAGCCGCGGTTTTTGCGTCCAGCCCGCAGTGGCTGAAGTTTTGCGCCACTGGCTCTGATTGGTGGCGCTGACAGGGTGGGGAGGGGTGGGCCAGAGAGGTGCTGGACTCGGCAGTGCCTGGGGAAAGGTCTGAGTGCCTAGACAGCAGGATGAGCAAGGGATTGAAATGCTGCTGTCTGGCTGGAGGCTGATCCCCTTCCAAGAGCACTTTGCTCAACCATTTGGCAGCTTCTCGAGGAGGGAAGAAGCTGGCTCATAGTTTCTCCATGATGTGGTGCCTGACGGGGGGAGCTTCTCTGCCTGTGCCACACCAGAGCTCAGAGCAGACATCAGAAGCCTTGCACTCAGCCTGGGTTCCAAGCGTGCTCGGGGTGTGGGGAGCATGTTTGGGGTGGAGTCGTGCAGAGGGGCAGCCACGCCCGCATTCGGACTATCCTGGTGGGTTCTCTCTCTCTGAATGCTGCAGGTTGACGATCAGATCCGGGCCTGCTACGAACAGATCATGGCGGAATGGCTGGGCTGCGAGGCCATCGTTCGGCAAAGGGAGAAGGAATCCCACGCTGCGGCTCTGGCCAAGTGCTCTTCTGGGGCGAGCTTAGACACCCACATTCAGAGGATGATGCACAGGGATTCGACTGTCAGCAACGAGGTGAGCCGGCTGAGGGCCTGCCGAGTGGGGCCCCCTCATCTGCCCTGTGGGGGAAGAGGGCTCCTTTTCCCTGGTATTATTTTACTGTTGGCCCATTTCCTATTCTCTCTCCTGCCCTCCCTCTTTGCCTCTCCCCATTTCTGCTCCTCTGCAAACATTGTTCACAATGACTGTTTCACTTCCCAGCTAGACAGAGAGACTGGTCTGACTCCTGCTCTCCGGTGTCTCTCTCCCCTTCGCCTCCCTGGGCCAGTACTGCTCATGGTGCTGCCTGCGGCCCTGGAATAGAGCTGTGTCTTCTTCTAGCCTCTGCCTTCCCCATGGGAGCGTCAGCCTCTGTGATCCCCATGCCCCCGGAAGTACCGAGACCTGCGCTGCAGTCACGCCAGCTAGCCAGCCTCTGGGTTTGGTTAGCCAGCACCACAATATTGTATTAAAATAGGTTCTATCTGCATTAATTGGCATCTAAAGGGTGGGGTTGAAGATGAATCGGCTGACTCCGCTAGCGTGTGTGCTGGTAGGTGGAGAATCCACCGCTCGAGCAATTGCAGCAATGCACCGAGCTGGGCAGTTAGCATGGAGGTTTAGGGGCTTGTCTGGGGCAGTGTCAGAGAGAGGGGAGGGGGGCAGTGGTGCAGGGGAACGGAGCCCACTGTTCCCTTCTGAGTTAGTGGCTGATCGGTGCAGATTGCAGAATGCCCACGGGGATCAGCCCATAGATAGACGCCCAGGGCCATGCCCATGTTTGGTCTCATTCAGGTGTACACAGGTGTGACCTTTCTGTCCGGTGGTGTCTGAAGCTGCAAGAACTGGCTTCAATATCTAAGGGTTCCTCTTAACAATGCAAAACAGAACAGGTTCGACCCTCCTCCCGCCCTGTAACATGGGAACATTAAACACCACCCCGGGCACCTCTCTGAGGCAACACTTCCCACTCGCAAGCATGGAGTCTGTGTAACAAGAGAACAGTTATTAAAAGGGGAAGGGAGCCCAACACCCAGCATTCAATAGCACATCACCATGAACAAACACCCGCCCCACAGCACGGGCCCCATTCAGACCCCGTTTACTCCACTGTTCCTGGGGGCGAGGAGAAAGGAAGGGATATTTTGTAACCTAGAGCCAGATTCTCTTCTCACTCAGATTGGTGTAAATCAGGAATAACGTCAGTGAAGTCAGCGGAGTGACACCCATGTTGAACTGGCGTAAGAGGGAGGAGACTCAGGCCCGTGGGGTGTACGGACCTGCAGGGGTCAGAAGCTATGGGAATAGCTGACAGGTCTTGGAAGGCATGAAATCTTCACTTGGATCCCTGTTCCTTTTCTGCCTCGTTGCTGCCGAACCCAGCTGAGTGCCTTTGATTCCGCTCTGCATCAGAGCGATGAACTGGTCCCACAGGAATGGGCAGGTGGGCAGGAAGCTGTTGGGTTTAGTTGTGGACCTTGGGAGGGCTTGCTGTTGCGGGACTGGCATGTGGCAAGGAAAATAAATCTAGAGAACAAGTGCCAAGGACTGGAGGGCAGAGTCTGTTAAAGGAAACAGCCTTGAACACAGACACGTGTGAGGGCTTTCAGTCCAGCTTTGTTCTCTGAGAAGGAAAACTGGAGCAGGGCATCCATACAAGGACTTTGGGAACTGGGAAGGTGCCAGCTGCAGATCAGGGCAGTGTAGTGCCAGGGGGAGAGTTTTCTGTGCAACAGAACAAGCGACTAGCCAAATCACCTGACCTCATCCACTGGAAGCAAAAACCATATCAAGGAAGGCCAAAAAAGACCCCTGAGTCAGGCTATCTGAGCTGCAGCTCCGCTCCACTGCGGCTTTATCTGTCTTCTTCCTGAAAGAGTTTTTGTGTGTGTGTGTGTATTGGTTGGTGAATCTGTCGGCTAGAGATGAAGGTAGCTGTGTACCCATATGCTGTGGGTGGGGGAGTAGGGGATATGCAGGGAGTGCGCAGATCCCTTTGTTGCTTGCAGGAGCTAAGCTGACAGCTCTTGCACTGAGCCAGGTGCGAGTGGGCGGAGAATTTGGCATTTACTGCATTTCAGTGAATCATTCCTATCTCAGCGGTGCCTCCATTGTGCGGCTGAGTTACACCTGGCCCATCTCTCTGTTCCTGGGAGGGGCCGTGACAGAGTCCATGAGTGTAGAGGATCACCCCTTCCCTACCTTAAATCTGAAATCTACTGTTGCAAAGTGTCCCCACGATTATGGAGAAAGCGATCACCTGTCCCCTCCCCGCTGGAGACCCTGCCAACAAGTACAACACCGGGGTGGGCACAGGAGGCTGCAATTTCCTGCTCCTGTTCTGGCTCTGAAAGGTTTTTTTCTTTAAACTTCATTGCAGCATCACATACCGTTAAGTTTCACACCATTTGCATATGTCACTTTGATATGTAGTGAAATAGCACCTTGGTTCCACTCTTAAAAAATATCACTGTGTGAGTTATGGACAGATGAGGAGCAGGGCAAACCGTTCTCCCCAAAGCCTTAATTTAGCTGTGGAAGTCAATGCCAATGAACGGCTGTTCAACAGACAGAGCAGCAAAGCATTGCGTGGTTCATTACAGACCCATAGCAGGAAAGCAGCCTGCTCCCCGTCAGCTTGGAGTCAGCAAATGCTGCTGTCGCGTCTTTAGTCCGTCAGTCTTGACAGTCTCTCTCTGAAATTACAATACTTTAGAAACCGAAGAGCGTGCGTAGGGAGAGGGGTTGAGTCATGGCCTGGGCTTTGGTTACTTATGTAAACTCTGAGGCGGTGAATTGGCTCATGGCTCACTCAGGATCAGGGTTAGACTCTGGCACTTCGGGGATGCAGCTTGAGCTCCCCAGAGGCCAGAAGAAAGCAGCTCATCTCACCCTCCAATATACGGCCTTGAACAATTCACCTGGGACATCTCTTAATTGCCAGCGCTCCCTTAACAAGAAGCACCAGTCACTGCTAGAGGCAGGCTGCTGAACTCCAGACCAATAACCTGACCCAGAATGACAGATCCCAGGTCCTGTAAATCTGTTGTTTCCCTGATTTAAATATGAGGATTTATCAGGTACAGCTTCCCCCCAATCCTTGTGTGCAGATGTGCAGGTTACAGTGGTGCTGCTGCAGCGTTAGCTTCACCCCGGGGATCCGGGTGGGGACAGTATAAGCCTGTGCTTTGCTTTTTTCCCTGAACTGTTCCACTCTTCTCTATTGCAGTCTTCCCAAAGCTGTAGCTCCGGCAGGCAAAGCCACGCCCGGCTGCTGAGTGACTCCAGCTCCAGCACCCAGGTAACCCACCCAGCTTTGCACCCTCTAGTGTGACTCCAGCTTGGGTTGATACCAGAGCTTTATCCGCCAGTTTTGAACAGGCTTATATTAGGGGTGTCCAAAATACAGTTAATTGAGCTCAGCCTGCATGCTACTCTGAAGGCTGCGGAGATCAAGACAGAGCGTCGCTTGATAGGACTTGACAGCCAGACCTCCTGCCTGGACTCCAAATGAAAGATTTGCCCCATTTTCTGCAAACTTTGTGCATGTGCCAACCTGGACCTCATTAGCTTCCTGCTTTGGCGCCGTGAGCTGATTTACATATGAACAGCCATTTGTGTACCTAAATTACAACCCTGCTAAACACACAGTGCCTTTCTGCATTAAAATACAGTGTAGAAGGCGGTCACTGCAAGGAGTGCTGGCGGGGCCTTTTGTAAATAACCAGAAACTGTGTATGGCTAGATCGAATGAGGCTGGATGTTTGAAGCTGAGGCTTCAGTGGGCACAACACATGGTGACGTTTTTGTCGTCTTACATGGCCAGGTCCGTGGCAGGGACCTGCAGTTTGGTGACATACAAAATAAAATTCAGCTAATCCTAGAAAATGTATTGGAGCATCCTGAATGGATACTGCAGCTAGAACAGAGCCAGAATCAAGATGTGTGGGCCCTTCTCAGTGGAGTGACACTTCCTCAGGGTAGTGGCTATAACCAGAACGGAGCTGCAAGTGCTCTGCCTCTAGCTGGAGTAGGTCTTACGCGGTGCCTGAATTTGGCTCCATCTCTTACTCCTAACCCAGAGGAGGTCCAAATGCACTGGAGTCGTGCACGGCTTGTCTGCACTGACTCCGCACAAACTGCGTGAGCATCCAAAGCAAGCAGCCGAGTATTTGAGCCGATTTCTTGCCCCCTCTTGTGACGGCCCCTAGACTCGAACGTAAATGCGCTGCAGAATGTTGTGCAACATCGTTGCCCCTAAATTGTTGTTAATGTGATGGGAATGAGTCTAGGTCACTTCCAGTCGCCAGAGCATCTTGTTGTGGGCTGTGCTTGAAGTTAATATGCTCAAAAATTCACGATGGCTTTGGGAAGTGACTCTAAAATGGCATTGTGAGCCCCTTGCTTCCACGTCAACCCACTCAGCCAATGGGCAAATCGTGCTTTGTTCCAGCTGCCAGCCCTGCCTGCTCATCCTGGGATCTGAGAGGAATGCTGGGGTCTTTCTAGCTCCTCCATTGTCATGCACCGTAAAGACTCTGCCTTCAGTTACACCTGCCCTGCCCCACTGTCTGTTGCCTGTGGGGTTGCACGGCTGTAACTGATTTGGTTACATTCTGTTGATGATGTGCAAGCCAAACTAGGACCCAGCTTTCTCTCCGCTGGCTTTGGTGCTGCAGAGCTAGCAGGAGTTGAAAGCAGTGAAAGCTGCTCGTTGGTTGACTCTGAACGTATACGGGGAGCACAGTGACTGGGTAGGATGGTGTCACTTTTCAGAGCAGAACCTCACTTTTCTCCCCATGGCATGAAACCCAGGGATTGCGTCACCAGCCAAAGAGTTAGGGGTTGATGGTGAACGCAAAGGGCATTTGCCTGGGCTAAGGGGGCTTTCTGCTCATTGTCTGCACAGGTGTTTGAATCAGTTGAGGATGTGGAACAGACTGAGGCAGATGCCCAACTCGAAGACGGCAAACAAGCCAAAATCCTAAACGGGACAATCGCCAACGGCACGTGTTCCCCTGAGCCTGGCCATCCCTCTTCCCAGACTTTCTACAGCACGTCTGAGCACAGCTTCAGCACTGACGAGAATGCGACGGAATCCAGCAAAACCGGGGCCTGCCACCAAGGGAAAGCCAGTGGGGCCGAGGCCCCGAAACCACAGAGCTCAGTCAATACACTGTCCGAGGATAAGCTGGCGGGGGAGGATCTGCAGGGCCAGGACAGCCTGGAAGGTGAATGTCCCATCAATGGAAGCTTAGAAGTCTTTATTCCAGTTGGCGGGAGCACAGCGGCGGTTTTGCCTGACAATGAAGCGGTGGGCCTTTCTGTGGTGGATGAAAGCTGGGCTGATAGTGAAGCTGAAAAGCGCAGCTTGGTGGGGAGTGAGGACAATCTGTCGGAGGAACCAGAGATGGAGAGCTTGTACCCACCGCTGGATTCACTAGCTGTGGCTGACTTGGCTAACAATGAAGTTTCTCCCGTCTCCTCAACTGGGGTCACCTATTCTGTGAGTATTTGCTTAGGAATTTCCATCTCGGGCTGAGAGCCAGCAGTCTGTAGGTCCCTTTTCAAATGCAGTTCACCAGTTGCTCTGTGCGACTCACCATGTTAATTCTGCAGTTGCATGCATGCTGGCTACCTCCTTCACAAGCAAACCTCTGAGCAGAGTGCGGTGCACAGGGATTCATTTGACTTTGCAGCATTCCTTTGGGGGGTTTTGGATGAATTCATCTGTATTATTTTGGTCTGTATTTCTGTAGCCAGAGCTCCTGGACATGTACACTGTGAACCTGCATCGCATTGAGAAGGATGTGCAGAGATGTGACCGGAACTACTGGTACTTCACACCTGCCAACCTCGAGAAGCTCCGCAACGTCATGTGCAGGTAGCGACCTGTGGGATTAGGGCAGGAGCTGACTTGCACCCTACTCATGAATAGGGCCACCTGTGTGAATGTAATGGGAAACCCCAAGCCAACGGTGCTGGCTCCAGTGTTGCTCCAAACCCATTTGTTCTCTGTTTTATTGTTTCTCCCCCTAGAAGACTCCAGTGTCCTAGTGCAGCTCGTAATCAGACAGGGAATTGTGGCTACAAGAATCTAGCCTCTGAGACCCCACCCCCAGGAGCAGAGGAAGCGATGGCAATAGCCTTTAGCTCTTGCTGGTTACCTCAGGTCCAGCAGTGATACAGTTCTGTCTTGTGGTATGAATCCAGCCCGGACCAGCTTGCTGTGTAGCTCATAGTAGGTGGGCTCCACTCTTCAGGGCTAGCAGGTCCCACAGGACAGCAGCAGACACTGCTTCACCACGTCCAGCATCCCGTTGGGTAACACGGTGCAGCCCACTCACTTGTCTGGTTATGCAGAGTTTTAATGAGGATTCACCCTGCAGAACTCAAATGCTAACGAGGAGTGCAAATGCCAGACATTCGTTACATGTGCGTCTTATTGCAAACAGTACGGTGGTGAGGGCTGTAGGAGTACCTGGAGAGACGGAAATATCTGGGTGGATTTCTGACTTCTGTTGATTAGTCATCTCCTGGAGAGGTCATTGTAGATACTCTCACAGATCACAAACAGCTCTGGCTCTGTTGACCCAGCCGTGTGAGGGGCAGTGAAAGCTGAAGCGTTAATATTACACATCTCAATAATGTGAGGAAAAGAAGTGATTTTATTAGAGCTGTCAGTCTCCTAGGCAGGCCTGGAAGATCTTGGCTGAGATGAGACCTACAATGCAGCAGGCATCTGGAAAGATGGACAGGGTTATTCAGTAATGATTTCCTTATGCCACGAATAGGTTTTTGCAGCCTTCTGTAGTGAATTTTGATTGATTACCAAATCTGGCATGTGACCTTTGCCAGGCTAATTACTCTCCAGGAGCCCTTGATCCAGGGAGGGAGAAGCAGCAGCAGCAGGTGCTCTGCTCAGACAGGCTTTCTTGGGGGCCAGAGAACGGACTGGAGGGGAGAGGCATGTGTCTTTTTTTACAAACTAGTGTTAAACTCGTCACTGTTCTCAACATTGCCCCTGGCACTGCTTGATTCTGATTTCACTTGCTCCTGAGCTGGTCCCTGCTGAGTTGTTCTTGCCCGATATCGACGTGGGATGTGCACCACGAACGTAATGGTTAACCTATCCCCTCACCTGCCCAAGTGAGTCGTTTACAGCTGCGCTGGAATGAGTGAGCAAACCCGAGGGTAGGATTAGCAGGGGAAAGTGAAGGCAGTTCTCATGTCTCCTTGCTGAGCCCTGTGGCCCTCCTTTCATGGCCCAGGCTGCCTCCTTAGCTGCAGGGGCAGGTGAGCCTGTGTCACTGTGGCCGATTGCCCGGGGCACTGCTGGCCCAGTCTGTCTCCGTGGAAGGATGGCTGTTCCACGCGGTGGCGTGAAGGGGTGCATGGTAGAGTGTGGAATGAGACGTATTCTCCAGGCTCTTCCAGAACGACAGAGCACGCCCCCTGCTCCACCCCCACGAGGGAGAAAAGAGGGAGCAGATGGCTCTGCAGACCCTGAACCAACTGTATTTCTGTCAGGAACATGCAGGAACCCAGCGGCTCCCCCGGCGCCATCCGAGTGCGGCCCATCTAGAAGGATGTTCCAGGGCCTAGCCACCAGCGATAGTGGGGCTGGCAGGTCCTTTCCAGAGGCACTGTACTGCTGGGCCTAGTGGTTAATTAGAGCAGTGCCTTTTCTCCTCCCTGCATGGGCCACATCGTCACTCAGTTTTACTTGGCCTCACTTGCCTGTTGTCGCTGGGGATCCGGGGGGTCTGATTCCCCCACCTGGTGCCAGGCACTGCTGTGTGGGTTGCCACCCAGTCAGTAATGACAGCGCCCGGCACCGGGGAATCGAGCCCTTTGGCTTCAGACTTTGGCCCCATGGAATCAGTGGGGCAGGCAGGCTACTGCCAAGTACTCCATCCCATTGCTCACAGGAAGGTGGGCTGCCCTCCAAGAGATGAGCAGTACGCTGGGCCCGGCCCCTCTGGGGAGTTCACAGCCCGTCTTCCCCGCTCTCTCCCTAGCTACATCTGGCAGCACATTGAGATCGGCTACGTGCAGGGAATGTGTGACCTGCTGGCGCCTCTCCTGGTCATCCTGGATGATGGTGAGTGGGTGGGGTCCCGGCAGCTCCAGGGAGTGCGTTTAGCTGAGTATTTAAGAGGGGAGGTGTGGGGAGAGCTCGCTGGCTCAGTCAGCCCCACAGATCTGGTGTGTCCAGGCCTGTCTGGCTCTGTCCCCCAAACAAGGACGGCATGAGTCCACGCTTCCTCGATGCAGCCTCCCGCCTGGAGAGACCCCTCTGGGTACGGGGGGAGAAGCTCTGTCACCATGACCTGTTTCATCCTGGCTCTCTGCTGTGGAGATTCAGCAACACAGGCTGGTTACTTTCAGTTGTGGGGGTGTGCATGTGCGTGTGAGCAGATGTGTACATATAGACACCCAGGTCAAGGTGCCTGTATGTAATTGGTGTGTACACACCTGAACGCATGAGTGCAGTAGAGCCATGACACTCTCTCTGTTATCCCATGCAGAGGCGCTCGCGTTCAGCTGTTTCACCGAGCTCATGAAAAGGATGAACCAGAATTTCCCACATGGGGGAGCCATGGACACCCACTTCGCTAACATGAGGTCACTGATCCAGGTACTGGGCCTGGGGCTCATGGCGAGAAGGTGGTGGCGCTTCAGACCAGCCGAAGGAAGGTTTTTCCTCATCCGCCTGTTGTATTAGAAGGACTCTTAGGGGGAGTGGGGAGGGTTCTGGAGCAGGCACCCTTGGTGTGGGGGGCAGGGTTATGGAGGGGCTTGTGGGGGAAGGCCCAGTATGAGGGAGTGTTACGGCTCCAGAGGAGCTTGAAGAGAAGGCCTGAGGGAGCATGTGTAGGGCTGTGGAGGGGGTTGAGGGCAGGGCAGAAAGGCCGGATGGGAGCAATAGCTGGCGCCTTCTCGTACACTAACTGGATTCTGGACTCCCTTTGCTTTCTTTGGCCAGATCTTGGACTCTGAGCTCTTTGAGCTGATGCACCAGAATGGGGACTACACCCATTTCTACTTCTGCTATCGATGGTTTCTCCTGGACTTCAAGCGAGGTGTGTGGCGTGACCTGGCCCTGTCCTCAAGGCCTCTGATGAACCAAGTGCAACAGGAAAGTCCCAGGGTGCCTCTACCTTAAAAGCAGTGGCATAAATTCAGATATTCCTTGGGGTGGGGGAGGAGGCAAATTCAGGAACCCCGTTCCAGTCTCCGCTCACCCCCCATCCCACAGGGATCTCGTCCAGGGACTCTTCCCGCCAGGGGTGAAAGTAAGCCGGTACGGGCCGGTACGGTGTACCGGTAAAAAGTGGCCACCAGTACCGGCCCGTACCCCGCTGACTTTAAAGCGCTGCCACGGCAAAGAACCCTGCTTAAAGTGCTGCCTGTTGTTGCCCCTTTTGCCTCCCACCCCCGGCCGCTGACTTTTTTCTCTACAGGGCCAATACATGCAAAACATCCCCAGTCCCAAAGCTTTTACAGCCTAGGGGACCAACAACTGACTCTCCTTTTTTAAAAACAAGTTTCCGCTGTGGGGCTTTGTGACACACTCATCTAATGGCCTCTCCTCTCGCCCCTTGGAGACCTTCGCTCACGTGTGGAAGAGACAATAAACTGGCTTCATCCTAGTCCCCATAGGTAGTTACAGAAAGCCACAGCAAAAGGCAGCGCGGGGGGAGGTTCCTGTGTAGGCGGGCTGTAGGTTTGGAATGTCAGATTGGTGGGGAGCGAGCTCTGTGAGCAGAGCGAACACTAAGCTTGTTGATAGCTATGGTGGTGTCATCCCTTATTTATCAGTAATTCAGTCACAACATTCTACTTCGTTGTATTTTAATGTTTGAGCAGCAATGTTAGTATGTTGGAAAAATAATTTGTATTAGACAGAGTCTATAATGTGGATACTAACATCTGGGCACGGGGAGGTGTCATGTTTTATAGTCACATGCTTTAAGGCAAGATGGGACCATTAGCTCATCTAGTCTGACCTCCTGGAAAACACAGGGCAGAGAATTTCACAAGTTACCCTCTGTACTGAGCCCAATAACTTGTGTTTGGCAAAAGTACCTTCCAGAAAGGCAGCCAGTCTGGATTAGAAGACATCAAGAGATGGAGAACCCTCCACTTCCCTTGGGAGTTTGTTACAGCGGTTAATCACCCGCAATGTTAAAAAAATGGTACCTTATTTCTAATTTGAATTTGGCTGGATGCTAAATCCCACCGTTGGCTCTTGTTCTGCCTTTCTCCAATTAAGATCACCTTTTGCATTGGGACTGACTGTTCTGTCATGTCCCCCCATAGAACTCCAGTGGCTAGTGAAGTGATGTGAGATAAGAGTCAGGCCACACTTAGGTCCTTAAGTTCTGGCAGGAGTCTGATTACTTTCCATCTATAAAAACAACTTTCCATATCAAATAACCATCAGTCGGAAACAAAATCCCCTTTGAAAAATAATTCTGCAACCTTCCAAAGAAGGGACTCGCCATAGTTGCTAGGCATTCTCCATAGCCCCATTCCAGGGCCTGAACCCATCCTAAACGATGCCCTGGCTTAGCCATTGTTGTTCTCTTTTCCAGAGCTGGTGTATGATGATGTTTTCTCTGTCTGGGAGACAATCTGGGCAGCTGCACGCGTCTCCTCTTCGCACTATGTCCTCTTCATAGCCCTGGCCTTGGTGGAAATGTACCGGGACATCATTTTGGAAAATAACATGGATTTTACAGATATCATCAAGTTCTTCAATGGTACGTCCTGAGTTTTGTTGGGCTGGATCTAGGGCAGGTACTCAGTCTTTGTCAGCAAGTCTCTGTGGTTAGGGAAGGTTAGTCTATACTAATCACTAGCGTTTATTGAAACAGAATGGGGCAAGATTGCTTATGAGAGGCCACTAGGCTGATGTCCTGAGCAGAGGGCTGCGAGCCAGCAACTTGTAGGTTCTAATCCAGACTCTGCTTTTCTTCTGTGGCCTGAGGGCAGTTGCTTTGCTGCTCTGTGCCTCAGATTCTCCACTTGTTACACGGTACGCTTCCCGGTAGAGAACAGTCCCCCAGCGATTCTTTAGCTAATAATGATTCTCATAAATATTAAATATGGTGCTTCTGGACACAGCCATGATCAGGGCCCCACAACTGCTCTGAATAGCTTCAGCCCCTTCCTAAAACGTGGCATGGGCAGAGAGATGCAAACCTTTGACGGGCTCTCAGCTTTCTCAGGACTGGGAGCTATTTAGCCATCGTTTGTTAATTCCTTTTCCTTCCATATTCCAGAAATGGCCGAGCGGCACAACACCAAACAGCTCCTGAAGCTGGCCCGGGATCTCGTGTACAAAGTCCAGACGCTGATTGAGAATAAATGAAAGGCCTGGGAAGGGTGGGGTGTTTGGCGAGACGTCGCCGACTCCTGTCCAACACTTCCTTCCCCATCTCCTTTTTCTTGAAGTGCCACACCTGTGACAAAAAACCCTTGGTAGTTTGACACATGCTGCTCTCTAAGATGAAAGTACCCTTATCTCTGCTCTCATGCTGTTGAGCTTAGACATTAGGGGAAGGGTCCCCTGGTTTAGTTCTTCAGTTCAACATTCGCTTTCAGTGATTGACCAAAGATCTGTAAATCTGCATCTTATTTTTTGTTTCAAACATTTCTACGTTGGAAGCAAATCCTGGGCAGACATTGCCTTGCCTTGCTTTGCTTTGGTGGTATTATTGCAGTTATGGTTCCCATCTTTAGCAAGAGCACTTTCCAGACAAAGCTTTCTCAAAGAGGGTGGGCTACAGGCAGACTATGCCTCTGCTGTCCCTTGGTCCACCTTTGAATTTGCAGCATATACTGCAGGGGAACAAAGCACTTCCCAAGAAGCAGCTTCCCCGCGTGACAAGAAAGCCAGGCAGCATCCCTCTCAAGCTAGTAAAAACTAGGGTGTTCTCAGCATTCGGCTCTGGGGGAGGAGCGTGAGGCTGTGCCTTCAGCAGAGAGACTCTGATCAGAGAAGTTCCTCCTATGATATACCCTCTTCCTTGTGTGGGGCTCTGTTTTCCTCCCATTCCCTAGGGTTGACAGTTTGCTCCTCACCCCGGGATCAGAGCATGTGGAGTTCCAACTCCGGCTAAGTTTCCAAAAGAGCTCAGGATGCCAAGTATTTCAGTGCCAACATAGGAGCTGAGCTCTACTGGAAAGTCTGGTTCCAACTGTGGGTCCTGAGCATTTGAAAAATCCGGCCTTGAGCTTTTTTGAAAATTCAGAGTTTGTGCCCAGAGGAGTCTCTTGTGTTTCTGGAACCTGATCCTTAGCCCATTGAAGTCAATGGAAAGACTCCAGTTGGACATCGGTGGGCTTGTGGAGGAAAATAGACCAAGCTTAGCGTTCTCTGTTCTGGGTACCCAGAGTGGTGCAATTCCAAGGCAGCTCCCCTGCAGTGGCACTAGCATTGTGCCCCACTGGTGCTGTGGCGTGCAGCACCTTGGCCCACACAAGAGCAGCAGGAAAACTGAGCTGCAGGATAATTGGTGAGGTTAGTGCAGCCAAGAGTTTGGGTTTATTTTTCAACTCAGGTAAAAAAAAGTAGAAGAGGAAAAGGAGAGAAGTGGGTTGTGTTAGTGGGTTAGTTCCCACCTGCCTAGGAAGGTCATTGTCATGGCTAAACCAGTCGGTGGTTGCTCCTGGCAGCTGGGAAAATGCTTTGCTGTAGCTCTTTCAAGGGTACTTGCTCTCAAATTGTGCTGCAAAAATCTGTTTGCCAGCCATGAAATGTGTGATAAATGTGTTTTCTCTTCCTCCACTCAGCTCCCCCAGCAGGGCTAGGCCAGAGCCCTCCGTGCTGAGGGAGTGGTGTTCACCAGAAGGGGAAAGGGACTCCTCTGTTTCTCCTCCTGCAGAACCCTTCTTTGTACTGGATGTATTTTGTATTTGTGTGTTGTGTGTCTCAGACGTTGCTTGCAGAAGAAACCCAGAAGAAAATAGTGCATGCTCCAGAAATCAGTTGCAGAGTACAGTGAGCCAGTCTGCAGTATGTGAACAAATCACCTCATCCCTCTGTACTAGTGGGATGCAGAGTCTGTAACTGCAAACCAGGGAAGGGCAGGGCCTGCTGAACCCTTTTGCTGAAGAAGAATACAGCGCGAGGTGAAAGCAGAGGAAATCTGTCTTCTCTAATTTCTTATTTTGCAGGCTATTTGTACTTTATCCACATGAGGTAGGAAACCCTCTGAAGCAATTTTCTGCCCAGGTTAGAGCCAATCTGCTGTATTAAACGCCAAAAAGAGCTTAATTTACTGGAGAAAACAGTCCGCACTAGCATCTGAAATAGTCTGCATGGAAACTGAAGAAGTTGGGCTTTAAACCTTCAGGTTCGACTATGAATCTTTCATCTTTTCCTAAAGCAGAGAGCAAATCTCACGCCTACACTGGTGACCTGCTCCTGATTTTACACTTGTAGCTTTTCAGATGTTAGAATGGATAAATAATCTGAGTAACCTTGTTCTAAAGTGGAAGGGATCAAAGTGACACCTTCACATAGCAAAACTAAGGAATAATAACCATTAGATAGGCATAAATAGTAGTATTTTATCAAGCAACAACTCTGATGACACTAGCTTTCAGGCTTTTTTTTTTTTTTTAATGGATAGCTGAGAATCCTGCACAATATCAGCTATCTGTATTATCTGACTGTGTCTTCGGGCCCATCAATAGCAGTGTTTTTGAATAACTTCTAACAAAAAAAAGTATTTATTTATTCTATTGATTGTACATTACTGTGTGTCCTTGTATACTGAATTCAGTGAGTGTGACTCTTTATGCAAATGGAGATATATCTTTCAATGTTGCAAACATATCTGTAAATGTTTACCAGAAAATTGTGTCTATATATACAGTATAGAGAAAAAATGTGATTTAAGTGGGGTATTATTTTTTTGAGGGGGGAAAAAAAATCTTTGCTTCTAAGAACGGTGTGGTTCTCTATAGCACCTACTCAGTGATGTGCCAATCTGTCACTTTCCTTGTACTGTGAGAATTGTTCTGTTACTGCAACAAAAAGCTCAATGCAGGTTAAGAAACCATTTGACCTCAGCTTTGCTTGGTTTAGCACTGATTAAAAATTGTGGAACAGAAACAGAGGTAGCAACTTTATCCCTGATCCCTCAATGGAATCGCCACAGGTGGCCTCTATCACCCCACTGATTTATGTGGGGCTCTGCACAGGCACTGGGGTCATCCTGGGTAGAAGTGATTGCAGGATCAGGGCCTAATGTGTTTTATTGCAGCAATTTAAATTCCCCCAAGAATGTAATATATTAGGCTGCAGTTAAAGCAACACTGCATCCATTTTGCTCTAAGAGTATGAACGTTAAACTGATCCCAGGGTATTCTCCAGAAAAATAATGAAAAGTGTCCATAGAGAAAGCTTGAGGGATACATTCTACTCTCACTTTGAATGTAAATCCAGAGTAACTCCATTGCAGTCAATGCACCAAATGTAACATTCAAATGGGAGCTGCCAGCATACATTAAAGTCAGTGGAACAAATTCTGCTCTCAGATATTCCAGTGGGAGTTGTGCATGCAAAGCTCAGAGCAGAATTTGGTCAGGTGGATGTCTTATCTTGATTGCTTTGCTCTTTGAATGCATTTCTTGTTCAGATATCTTGCCAGGTTGTTAATTCACGTGCACAGCCGCAGGCAGGTTGGCTGATTGGTGGGGTTATAAACAGTGCATATTAGAAAGTCAAGATGTACTGTAATCATGGCAAATTTCCATAGCTTTTGGTCATATGTGGTCCTAGCTCAGCTCTGCGTGTGTGTCCATAGAATGTGTACTTGGAGTCACAAAGGCCCTGAACAACTGGGATTGTTTGGATTTCATAGAGACATTAGAGCCCCTGGAAACAGAGACTGTTCCAACAGAACACTCAGAGAGCAGTAAGGGGGAAAGGGGGAGTTTGCTTGTCTGTCTGAAATAAAAAAATTGTGAGCAAATTGATTCCAAAACCAAACCATGAATTAGATAACGTGACTGTATGATGTCCCCACCCATCCATCAGTGGTTTAAATACTTTAGAACCGTGATTTTTGTGAACACCAGTCTTACAAACAGCCAGTTATACAACCCATTTTTCCTGATGGGGAAAAAAAAATCACATAATGAAAATGGCGTCACTGAAAAATGAATCGACAGCCCTTCACAGTCTAAGGGCTCAATGCACTGGAAATCGCTTTGGAGTAGTTTGGAGGAGAAGAAGAACGAGACACAGAGTATCACACTGCAACGTGAGCACCGTACCACTGTCAATTTGAGATGTTCCATTTTCTGAACACCTCAATCCCTAATTAGTTGTAAAATAGGGGTTCTATTGTAATGAATGGGAACTGACCTCACATGACTTCCAACTAATGCACACAGGGCCTGGTGTGTCTAGGGTGACCAGATGTCCCAATTTTATAGGGACAGTCCCGATTTTTGGGTCTTTTTCTTATATAGGCTCCTTTACCTCCCACCCCGTCCCAATTTTTCACACTTGCTGTCTGGTCACCGTAGGTGTGTCCAGGGGCTTTAAGTTGGTATATCCACACTGCAGTCCAAGGGGTGATTGCAGTACGTGAAGCCATACCCGATATAGCTTTACTCTAGCTAGCTCAGGTGCCAAGAGCAGTAAAGCCATGGCAGCTGCCTGAGTGCATACTTGGGCTTGGGCAGTTAGTCTGTGCTGCTGCTGTTGGTACCCAAGCTAGCTAGATTCAAGCTTGCTCAGCTGTGACTACGTGTGCTGCAATGACATCTCCAGTTGCAGTGTAGACCTACCCTTAGAATCCACTTGTATGCACACAATTTTTGTGCCCATGTATATATCCCTTAGCATGCTCTGTGTGCACGAATGACAGTGCGTAAACTGTGTGTGCAGGTAAGTGGAGGCCATCTTTTAAGTCAGGCTTGTATTGTAATTTGTGTTGTAATCCATGCATAATATGTCAATTCCCATTGAAATTGATTAGCACTCCGCAAGCCTTGTGTATGTGACATCTAATTCGCACATTGAGTGGTTTCCTTTTGGTGATTTAAACTACGGTTACCATATTTAAAAAATAAAAAAAAGGACACTCCAGGGGCCCTGGCCCTGCCCCAACTCTGCCACTTCCCCAAAGTCCCCGCCCTAACTCCGCCCTCTCCCCTGAGCGCCCTGCATTCCCCCTCCTCCCTCCCAGCCACGTGAAAAGGGCTGCCCGAGCGCTACCAGCTTCACGGTTTGCCGGGCAGCCCCCAGACCCTGCGCCTCCGGCCGAGCGCTCGGGCAGCTCGGCACTTACAGAGCCCAGTAGTTCAGGGAGCACAGCAGCCGCCGGAGCCCGGGAGGGGAAGTGCCCGGCCGGGGGCGTAGGATCTGGAGGCTGCCCGGCAAACCGTGAAGCCGGTAGAGCTTGGGCTTCGGGTGGCCTCCATGCCTCTGGAGGGGAAGTGCCCGGCCAGCGGCTCAGGGTCCGGAAGCATGGGGGCTGCCCGAACCCGGTAGCGCTCGGGCAGCTCGGCTTTAAACAGAGCAGAAGAGTCAAGGTAGGGAGCACAGCAGCCGTGGGAGGGGAAGTGCCCGGCTGGCAGCATTTTTCCTGGACATGTTCGGCTTTTTGGCAATTCCCCCCGGACGGGGGTTTGATTACCAAAAAGCCGGACATGTCTGGGAAAAACCAGACGTATGGTAACTCTATTTAAACAGAATGAGTTAGGAGGGTGGCCATTGGGAAAGAGTTTGCTTATGTGTATAATAGGATAAAGGCCGTGGTGAGACCAGTGGAAAACAAGCACATATTCTCACACTAAAAGTCTAGGGGTCAGGGTCGGTACAAAGCTACCCAGAGTTACAAGAGTAGGATCTTGCTTATCTAGCTGTTGCACCTCTTTTTCCTTCTCCTCAATCCTTTCCTTTCTGCCTGAGTGTGCACCTGTGTCCTAGAGGCCCTAACATTTAAGTATTACTGTGGGTTTTCTGAGAGAACAGAGCCACGTTACTTCTTTGTTTCCCTTCCCTTCCCTTCCCTTCCCTGGGAAGCTACACATTGTGCAGGCCGACAAATTGACTTTTGACACTAGGATAGAGCCTTTGGCAGAGAAATGCATTAGACAATTATTGTGATATGGGGCAAACTAGATGAGCCAGATGAATATTTTCTTTCGGCAACTCCATATGGATGCAATTTGCACCTCTAAAGTCCCATGTGAGCTCATGTGTTGACCCTCTGCAGAGAGGGGAGGTTTTTTTGCTCTATATACTTAGCGCTCAGATCAGCTTGCTTTGTATACATTCTACTTAATGTCCAAAAACAAATTCCAACCCTGATCCTTTCCTAAGGGGGTTGTTAATGGATTCTTTGCCTGCATTTGAGCTTTCTGCAGATGTGACCCACCAAACGACTCTTGATATCCATCTTTTTCAGCATTACTAAAGTAAACATTTTAGAAGTGGTCTTTGTTCCTGAATGTGGTTTTTTTAGAAGAGGTTTTTCTTTTTTCCTGTGTTGAGACTCTGGATGGCCTTTCTATAAACACTTCTCACATAGATTGACTTTTCTTCCCAAGACCAAGATTGCATTGAAGGCAGCGATGCTGCAAAGTGTTACCCTTACTCAGCCTTTTATTTTTTAGCAGCCTCTTACCATACAGAATTTTGGTTTTGCTGTCGCTAACGACTGCAATAGAAGTACAGATGTTAATGATAACTTTTACTAGTGGTTTAAAAGCCATCTCAAGGGAAGCAATTGCTCCTGATGCTGTAATGTAGACAGCATAATTTTAGCTCTTCTGTTTGGATAAAATTCACCTCTCAGCAGAGGACAGGCACAAGCCACTTAAGTCCCACTTGAGAGGTACGTAGGCCTTTGTGGGCCTAGGCCAGGGGGGAATTTCACTCTTACTTTCGTTTTTCTTATGACTGTGTTTTTTTTTAACTGTCATATGTCATTCTTGCTCCAGAAACGCTTGACTGTCTTTTCTGTCCCCACTTGCTCTGTCAATCGACTGATTTCACTGAGTTGGGAGCTACTTTAGGGATAGTCTATAAAGAATACAGAGCCCTTGTTCCACAACCCTTGTCACACACGACATGATTTTCTTAAAAAAAATTAAATGACTTGAAAACATGCAGTGTGAGTTGCTGCTCTGTTTTCCCCGTATTGTAGCTTCCCTGTTCAGCCAGTGATAGTCTCTGAACCAATTTCATCAGTGAGATAAAGGGGAGAGATTTTTTTAAAATTTGACAAATGTACTGAAGAAATGGCATCCTTGTGATTTATCTGTCTGCTTTGGAATTTTAGCTAAAACCAGCAGTTCTAGTAATGTTTCCCATATTTCTTGAGCACATGTAGATACTGAAAGAGCACAATTTGTTATTTATGAAGTGCACATTTTCTAGCAATATAGAAATTTGGTAATTATTGCTAGAACTAATCATTAAAACTCTGCAGTAGATAAAGATGGTGTTTTCCTGTATAATATTGGACCTCTCCTAAATACCTTCCATTACATCCCTTTGAATCTTGCTTCTTCTGTCTTCCTACTTAGGGTACCCAAACCACCTTAACTCTCTCCTGTAGTTACAACCTGCAAGAAACATACCTTAATGATCAAAACGTTTTTTAGTTTTTCAGTCCCAGATTAGATTAAACTGATTTTTAAAGACACATTCGATTTTTTTTTTTGGTGTCACTAAGGACAAGAATTATGGTTGTTTGTGTGCCTTAACTTGCATTTCTACAGCTCAACATATTTGGATTTCTTTTAAGCTTAAGCTTAACCTTAACGCTGAATATCCTGGGTTTATAATGCTTGTGTTTTGAATAGTTACACCATCCTTGTAATGTATTTTACCCTAAATTAGTGATGTAAGTTCTCTAGTTTTTGTCGAGCGTTTCCTTTAAAAAATATTAAAAATTCATACATGAACACTGACCGAGAAGCCCAAAGAGAATGTTACAGTGTGATATTGCTAATGATTTCAAGATATCAAGTATCAGACTTCAGTGTTTTATTTTTACTTTTAGGGCCAGGCTTCCCAGTAGGTTCTAGCTGCGTTATGGGTTTTGGGAGCAGCACTAAGTAGCCAGACTGTACTGGCTAGTTAAGCTGCATTTACAACTGTTGTGCATTGACAGATCAGCACGAAGTAACCTGCATTTATACCCCAGCTTCTGTCTACCTCCTGCCCTCCGCATTTCACCCTAGTTCTCCACCCACGTGCCCTTTCTATTGGACAGATCTAGTGCAATGGATTGGTTTGGGAATGAAATAATTAGGATTAATGGTCATTTTTTCCTGTTACTTTTCATAACCGAAAGTGTCTCCTTCAGCAGAGGCTGGAGCATAAAATTATTTAGAAAATCTCCAAGAATTGCCTGCTTTCAAAATGGCCACCACCTCCCATTGTTTCCAATAACCGTGAAGCCCTCAGAGTATAGACAGTGGTCCTCTCTGCGCCATGAAGAGCTTGCTGAATGGAGGCAATGGACATCTTTGCTGAGGGCAGCATGTGAACTCACTCCCATTCAGAACAATAGGGGGTAGCAGCCAATTCAAACGAGGGCAATTTTTCATGGAATTCTCTGTAATAGAACTTTATCTCCAGCTCCTGCAAAGGGAGGGACTTTCAGCAATAGTTTAAAATGACCATTTATCTGAAAAATAAATAAAAATCTTCAAATATTAGTCTATGCACAAGTTCTCGGTGAGCTCTAACTGTATGAGAAATTTGAAGAGTTTGTATTGTTTCCTTAATAAGATAATTGAGGTTAAATAAAAAGGTCTGACACTGGATACTACATTTCTTAAGGGACTCATTTTTACCAAATTAATTTACTCCTTAATTAACAGATTTACTTGTAAATTCTCAGAAAATTCATTCTTCTCTGAGTAAGTGCTGAGAGTTTGGGGAGAATAATCTGTATTTTTCATAAACAGAGGTTGCATCCTGGCTTTATGTACAAAATGTAACTCTACCTTCACTATGGACCCATGATTGGCACCTATATAATTCTAAAACATATAGTACCAAGCTTAGTTTTTGCTAAGTACAGTGGGAAACCTTAGAAGACGGACCTCTTATACATTTGGGAAATTAATGATAAATTTACCACAAGGATGTGTTGGAAAAAGAATTACATTTAACAGGATTCTGAATGTACTGTATGAACTGGTGTTAAACCTTATGTTGCCCTACAACAAATTGCTGCTTTTACCCATAGGATGCCATTTTGGTCTCTGGGACTCACTCTATATGAGATTAATGAGCATTGTAGCTTTTATTATAACATTTGTAAAAGTACTGCTGAAGTCTGTCTTGGCATATTTCGACTTCATACTGTTATATTTTACTCATGCTTCTGGTTTTCTTTGTAAATTGTTCCTTACTGTTGTTCAGAAAGACAAACTAAAACTATATTCTCTATGGTTAAATGTATTTTCAAATCAATAAAATCCTGGCTGTTGTTTATTGCTGTGGTTTTACTGACTAGAGACACTAAGAAAGGAGTTGTGGAAAGTTTTAGCCAGATTCTTCACTGCCTTTTGCCATCAGTTAACCTGTGCAAATGTTATCAAATGGAATAATGTTTTACACACAGGATGCAGACTTACTGTTCACAGGTATCAATGATGATGCAGGATCAAAGAAGTGGAGAATCAGAACCTGAATCTGTAGTCACAACTCTCATTGACAAGAAAGCTTTTCATGGGTCAAATGTACATGGTGGGTCTTGTCACTTACAAAGATCAATGCTTGAATTGAGTTCCTTTCTTTCAAAAAACTCTTTGAGCTTGTCAGGAAAGCGACATACAGCTGAATCCTAATCAACCCTCCGAAGATACTGAGATGTTCAGGAATCAGTAGAAGAGGGAAACAGGTTGGCAGCTGGTTGGAAATGGAGGTTTGGATAATTGAATCTCTTGTGTGGCACATGCACAATCTAATTCTCTCCAGCAATTTCTTTTCAGCTTTGGCACCGGTTTAGAAGCTGTTTCAGCAGCATGGATAGAAAAGAAGAAGTCGTCTTAGAAGTGCGTCCTCCTAGAACACGGTGAGACAATTACATGTTGCTAGTGAAGATCATCACTCTTGTGGGGACTCAGGAGTGATTAGCAAAAATGCAAAAGATTTGTCATTCTCACCCTGTGTCCTTCATAAACCCCCAAAGACTGCTTTGGCAGGTGGAAACCCACTCAACTTGGACCTGAGTCACAGACCATTGAAGGCAGTGGGAGTCTTTCCACTGACTTCAACGGACTCTGTATCTGGCCCTTTGTACACAAATATTAGCCAAGGAAAGGTGGTGGATATCACCAGGCTCTTCTCTCTCTCTTTTGTACCCTTTTGGAAGATGAAGTAGGATTCCTCTACTGGTGCAGCTGTGTCTAGTCCTCTTTGGGTTGTTGCTCAGGTTGAAGGGCAGGAGAGGAGAGAATGAAGAGAAAGGTTTTCTAAGCTCTTAGTTGTCCAGGAACACTGCATGAATGATGCATCCAATTGCCAATCCATCTGAGGCTTATATGATGTACTTGCTTAGGGAGATAAAGATACCATCTGATTAATGCTGAAGCAGAATTCAACTACCACATCATATCACCTGCTTTTGCATCTTGACAGTGAATGATCTGGATTAGGATAGAATTATAAAACCCTTAGGCATGTCTGATGTGTCACATCAGCAGCAGTATGTGAGTGACACTATGGACTGAGTTCAAAATATTGGATGGAAATGTTTTGTTTGGAAAATGTGAAAATAACCATTCAGATAAGAATAGACACAAATGAAATAATGCTGAAAGGGACAGATGTTTAAATACCAGTGTCTCTGGTGCATCTTGGAATTACAGCTCAGGCTTAGTCTCTCTCCAAATCTTGGAACCTGAGCTACAGATCCATGCGAATGCAGAGATATAACTAGATCTAAACAGAGTTACAGATGGTGAGAGCTGCAGAGCTAGCTAGGTACAGAAATCTCTGCAGGGAAGCATGTTACTAAAATGCTTCCAATCGAAATTGTGATGTTCCAAGCTTTAAAACATTGTGCATTTCATCCTGCTTCTGTATTGCCAAGCTCTCTGTCCTGCTGTGGGCAGCCACCATTTGTGGCCTGGTCTTTGCAAGCACCTCTGACCTTGGGGCATTCAGCATCTTGCACAGTCAGGCCACACCTCCCCTTGACTATAATAGGAGTTGAGGGCACTCAGCACTTCACAGGAGCAACCCATATGCCTTATGCATCTTGCTGGTGCTGTCCCACTCATGTGTGCAGCTCCCTCCCCACCTTAGCACCAGCAGCGCTGCTCTGAAGGTGGGTTACAGCCTGACAGAAGTAAACACCCACTCTTTGCCTAGCAGCTCTTACTCACTGCCTCATCTCCTGCCTTGGTGGCGTTGGCAGACTGGTGCGTCACTCAGTTTGCATACCACTCCAGACCTCCCACCTGGCCTTCCTGGGAGGATAAATCTCCCAGCTAACAAAATAATCCAAACATTATTGACCAGAACATCCAACTACTTGCCAACTCAGATCCCTGAACCCAAAGAAGCTGAATACAAAGAGCGGCAGCCCAGAGTATCTTTTAAAATTGTACTAGCAACAGGTGTCCCTAACATACAATTCGTGCATTACATTCATTCTGCCTGTAAACCGCCTCAGAGTGTCAGAGGACATCAAATCAAAATAGAGCTCGCTGCTGAATCCTGGAATGTAACATCTTCAGAGATGCCTCTTGTTAATTGTGTGTTTTTTAAGGGGGCATCTAGATATTTATAAAGGGGTTTTTCATTACTGTACCATCAGGAGAGATGAATAGTCATCAAAACAACTCATTGTTTATACCATACCATAATTCCACAGATATAATCCAAAAGTGAAAATCTCAGAAGATTTACCCAGTTGTTCCTGTAACATATTTTGCTCCTAGTCTGGAAAGAACTTGTACAGTTGCTGTGTGAGAGAAACTAACACATGCTTGTGTTATCCAAGTTGCAATTAGCAGTGGTGCAAACTGTTTTAATCTTCAATGAGGCATGTTTAGGCTGATTAAACTGTTGACAAGGGAAGTCTCCAATGTGTATCTAAAAATCATTGCAATGTCTGGGACTCTCTAAAAGTGCACTTCTTGCTTTAACCCTTTTAGCTCCAACTCTTTGTAGCAGGGAATACATTTACTCTTTTGCAAAGCACAGTGTATATTTATAGCAGTATGATTACTGCTAATGATATCCTGCATCATGTTGTGCAGTGTTTTCTCCAGTTTCCTATCAGTATCTCAATAATACTCTGTTGTGAAATGGGATTGCCTCAGAGGTGTGGCTTCCTCTTAATAAGGTAGGATTGGTGAGAAGTATTCTGACTAGATCTAAATATCTTATGTCTGTGCCATATGTAGGCTTTAGTAGCTCAAGGATTGAGATTTTCAGTTTCATGCAAATCCAGAGCTCTTCATGGCGCTGGAGTACCCAGCAACACAGTGGTGTCTCCTCAGCAGAACTGTTCACTACGACGCAGTCAACTGCACCTTTGCTACATCAGCTGCACCAGTGTTGGGCCCAATTTGCCTTTACTACTGGTGATAATGCACAAGTTGGAATGGGACCAGCTTGACTCTTAGATCCCAGGGTGAGTTTGCGGAGGAGTTATAGGGGGTGAAAACCAGCCCTCTTGCTTGTGAACTGGAATCACAGAGACAAAAAGCAAGAACCCTCTTGATGCTATTGCTGAAGGTCTCTGTCAGAGGAGATCTGCACCTGTTTGATCTCTCCAGAACTTCCTGCCTCTCCCCTCCGCTTTCAAGGTCCCATTGCTTTTTCTTTAACTCCCTCTCCTGCCAGGGACATCTCTCTTCCCATCCCACCCCCAGTAGGGCTCCCCTCTTTTCACTGCCAGATCCATCTGCTCCCCTTTTCACCACGGCCTAGCCTGTACCTGGCTACAGTTCTGCCTTTTTCTCTCCATTCCCTGCCCCTTTCTGGTCTCCAGTGGTGCCCTGGCCGTCTAACCCTCTCATTATCTGGGACTGGACAGATGCTGTCTGCCAGTGCTCGTCAATCAAGCCTCAGCCAGATGCTGTTCTCTGCTACTGCTGTGCTATGGGTCTGCCTGCCAGGACTCCCAGTGCTGTCACCCCTGAGCTTCCTCTTGCCCATTCCTTCCTTTTCAGCACAGACAATGGAAACTGCTCATTGTAGAGAATGAAACAAAGCTGCTTTGGGTGAAGAGGAGACAAAGTTTACCAGCTGCGATGGGAACGATGGGTCAGGCTCTCAGCTACTGGCTGTGTAGCTCATTGACTTCAATGGAATTATGCAGATTTACACCAGCTGAGGATTTGGCCCACCATTCTGCTAGCATTAAGGTGAGGGTTCCTGGCGGCCTGGTGCATGTTGGATAAGAAAAGGCTATGCCTTGGTTTTGTTTATCTGTACAAAACCATGGAGCAGTCAATCATAAAACACTAGTTTTACTGAAGGATTTTATTGTTCATCTTCTCTGACTAGAATTATACTTTCTGTAGCAGTAGAGAAAAAGATCTTGGACTTGGCCTCATTTAAATTGTATCTGCTGATGACTGGCAGTTAACATGGTAGTATGACATCCAGGATAGCCACCATGTAGTCCCAGCCAAGCTTATATTTCCCAGCATTGTACGTGGAGGAGGAACCACCAATTTCATTAGCGAATGCAGAATCCAAACTACATGGAAAAATCAGCAGTCCCAAGATTGTGCCAATCACTGGCGGGGGGTAAAAAACAAGCAAGCCTGCAATTATACCAGTGCAAAAAATGACAGAGCTTCCAACATCAGATAACAGGCAGTTGGAAACCACTGGGTGAAGATCCTGCTTCAGAAAGTAGTTTGTTCATTTTTTGGAGGGGTGATGAGGGGAGACTTGGCTACAGAAGACTTGAAGAGAGGTGAGCATGGATTTCACACAGGCAGATGTATCCATGAACTCTCATTATCATTATCGCTGCCACGTTGGCTCAGTTTGCTGGACACCACCACTAACCTGTGGGTGTCACTGGAGCTTTCAGGAGCATGAGTGACAGACAATATGAATGAGGCTAGAATTGTAATGACCCGAAGGAACAGCTCCATCTCCTGAAAGGTAAATACCTGCAGCTGTTTGCAGATGTTTTGCAGATAACCCTCCTCTGGCAAAGTCCCTAGGATATAAAAATCCAAGACAAGGTAAGAACTGTTCCAAATGCTAGCAGCATCCAACCTCCAAAAAGCAATACAGCTGCAATCTGAAACCAAATATGGGTCTCTTTGTTCAAGAAAAAGCTTGGTGGTCCTAGAACATTAGAATATAGGGTTGATTGCCAGACTCCTCACTGGAATGACATGATCACCTCTGCTAGGCAATAGTTAGATAGGACCACTACCCCTTTTGGTGTTAAAATTGAGCCTCCAGCTATTTAAGGAGTCCCCATACCTCTGACGAATGTGTCAGACTAAAGAGAAGTGGGTCTCTGCTATTGGCAGGTATATTTTAATACTGAACACTACAGTTACAAGAGAGGAATCAGTGGAACGGCCCGTAGTGGATTTAGAGCGCTCACTGGCTTCTGGCTCCAGGTTTGATGCTGGAATTTTGGAGCCCTTTATTTTGCAAGCTGGACAAGTGCCTTTGGATATTTTTAAAATGCCAAGCAAAGGGACCAACTGCACATGAACTAGATTTCAGGGAAATACAGTCAGGCATTGGGTTCTTGGTCTTTGTTTTCTTGGCCACTCCCACCCCTGCTTGATGGATGTGACCTCTCAGGCCTTATAGTGCCAGCAGTTAATTGCATCTGCAAATTTGTATCTGTAGTTAAAACAGACACAACACTAAAGGTTCACTTGAAAATGCGGCTTGCGACATAAATTGGGTTAATTTATTAACATTCAGTACTTTGAACATTATAAAGTACTATTGTATAAGTGCTAATTACTTGTTAATAATGCTGGTTCTTTAACAGTAAAAAGAACAAAAGGGTCAAATATCCCTCTGGTTTGAGCCCCAGGAGGTGAGTCAAACAAGTCACATCAGGGAGGAATCTACAGACACGGGTTGTGCTTGTCTGTTTGCGTATCTTGTGAACCATGTACCTTCCAGGAAACAGCAGGGATATTCTCTAGAGTTCTGTATATGGTGCACATCTGCTTATCAGGAGCTTTTGAGAACCGAGAGCAGTGGGTAAAGACCCCAAATGACCTGGGCTTGTTTCTGAATCACGCAGGGGATGTCAGACTGAAGCTGAAAATGGAGTAAATCACCAGCTGCCTGCATTTGTCCTTGTAAACTTGAGGGCCCGTAGCTTTTTAATCTATGCAGAATCTATAGAAATCTGTATTTCCAGATTTTTAGTGTGGCCTTTCCAATTCTTTCTGATGATGCACATGCTAGAGTGCAACTGGGAGAAGCAAATGGAGAACCATGTCCATTGTCACCAGGTAAGGGTAGTTAGTGCCACCAATTACATTTGCTTTTGGTGGGATGGGAGCATGTTTTCAAATGTCAAAACTTATACTGGGAGAGGAGTAAATTCCCTCTTGGCCTGAATTCTACATTTTAAACCAAAATTTCTAAAAAATTTAAAAAACGTATAGAGGTTAGAACCTCATAAGTCAAAAGCGCCATGCTTTTCCGCTGCATTATTGCTAAAAGTGGCTTAATTAAAAGAAACCTTCTAGTTAATTAGTCCTTACTGTGTTTACTGTTGGGGCATGTTTGCTGTAATGGCCAGGCACAGATGGCATAGCACCAGTGACTCAGAGCTTGTCTATGTGTAGGGTATAGTTATGGCCCTTGCTATGCCGTCACTGCAAAAAAGGTGGGGTTTTGTTTTGTTTTTTTTACAGTGAGATACCTAGCAATCCAAAACCCTAGTGTAGATAAGCCCTAAGTGAAAATAGACTAATACAAATGGAAGAAATGGGAAATTGATAGTAATTAATTAAATCAGAAGCTAGGAATTGTAGAAAATTGATAATAGAAACTAAGGGATACAAGGAGAAATCTGTTGGCAGCAGCGTTGAGGACAAGGAGTTTTTAAGGTTTGTTAGATTCCATTTGTTTCTAATAATGGTATTGGTCCATTACTAGATGGAAATGTGGAATCATCAATAATAATGCAGAAAAGGCCAAAGTGTTCAATACGTATTTCTACTCTATATTTGGGAAAAAATGGATGATGTAGTCATGTCATATGATAACACTCTTTCCACTCAGCTGGTATCTCAGGAGGATGTTAAACAGCAACTACTAAAGTTAGATATTTTAAAATCAGCAGGTCCAAATAACTTGCATCCAAAAGCTTTAAAACAGCTGGCTGAAAAGCTCACTGAACCATTAATACTGATTTTCAATAATTCTTGGAATACTGGGGATGTTCCAGAAGACTGGAAGACAGCTGATGCTGTGCTAATATTTAAAAAGAGTAAACAGATGATCAGGGTAATTATAGTTTTGTCAGTCTGATATCAGTCCCAGGAAAGATAATGGAGAGGCTGATACAGGACTTGATTAATAAAGAATTATGGAGAGTAATATAATTAATGCAAATCAACATGGGTTTATGGAAAATAGACCATGTCAAACTAACTTGATATCTATTTTTGATGAGACTACAAGTTTGCTTGATAAAGATAATAGTATCGATTGTAATAGACACCTCTATGGTGTTTGACTTGGTATGGCACAACATTTTGATTAGAAAACAAGGATGATACAAAATTAGCATGGCATGCATTAACTGGATTAAAGGCTTGTTAACGGATAGGTCTCAAAATGTAACTGTAAATGGGGAATCCTCATTGAGCAGGTGTTTCCAGTGGGGTCCCACAGGGATCAGTTCTTAGTTCTATGCTATTTAACATTTTTATCAGTGACACTGGAAGAAAACATAAAATCCTTGATTCAGTTCACAGATGACAAAAAATTGGTAGGGGTGGTAAATTAGGAGGACAGGATTCAGAACAATCTGGCTTGCTTGTAAACTGGAGGCAAGGATAGAATATGTGTTCTAATGTGGCTAAATGTACATGTATACATCTAGGAACAAAGAATGTAGGCCATGCTTACAGGATGGAGGACTCTATCTGGGAAGTAGTGACTCTGAAAAAAGACTTGAGGGTCTTGGTGGATAATCAGCTGAACACGAGCTTCTAGTGTGATGCAGTAGGCAAAAGAGCTAACGCGACCCTTGGACGCATAAACGGGAATGACAAGTAGCAGCAGAGCAGTTATTTTATCTTTGTATTTGGCACTGGTGTGACCACTGGTGGAATTCTGTGTCCAGTTCTGGTGTCCACAATTCAAGATGTATATTGATAAATTGGAGTGGGGTCCGAGAAGAGTCACAAGAATGATTAAAGGATTAGAAAACCTGCCTTATAGTGATATCCAGCAACCTTATTTTTTAATCTTAACAAAGAGGTTAGGGGGTGACTTGATTACAGTTTATATGTCCTTACACGGGGAACAAATACTTGATAATGAGTGCTTCAATCTAGCAGACAACATTTTACACCTTATTCCCAGTCTGAATTTGTCAAACTTCAACTGCCAGACACTGAATCATGTATATTGAGGGTATTAACCATTGGAACAATTTACCCAGGGTCATGGTGGATTCTCCATCACTGGTAACTTTTAAACCAAGATTGGATGTTTTTCTAAAAGATCTGTTCTAGGAATTATTTTGGGAAAGTTCTCTGGCCTGTGTTATATGGGAGGGCAAATCAGATGATCACAATGGTCCAATCTGGTGTTTGAATCTAGTGTAACTCAGATCTGTATTTGGCCCAGTCACTGGCAGGGCAGTACTTGGATCTATGGCATCTGCAGTTAACCTGTTTCTCCACTGCAGGGCACTGATACACTATATGAGAGAAACAAGACTGGAGGAACAGATCCTAGTTGAAATAGTGTTTGATACTCCATCACAGTTCATGTTATTCATTTTACAACTTCATTTTGTGTGATCTCTTTTCAGGCTGTAAAGTCTGACAAAGTTGATAAAAAACCCAACAACCTGAAAACACTCATAATTTATTTCAGAGTAGCAGCCGTGTTAGTCTGTATCCGCAAAAAGAAGAACAGGAGGACTTGTGGCACCTTAGAGACTAACAAATTTATTAGTCTGTCTGTACTGGGCTAGCTTGATTATCACTTCAAAAGTTTTTTTTCTCTTAATTAAT